CGGCCACTGCACTCCAGTCTGGGCGACAGAGTGAGACTCCGACTCAAAAAAAAAAAATTATTTTTTTGCACGTTAGTGCTATTTTTCCTTTCAGATTGAAGAAATTCCTGTAGCATTTCTTGTAAGACATGTCTGGTGGTGGTAAATTCTCTCAGTTTCTTTTTTTTCTTTTTTTGGTCTGAGAAAGCTTCATCTCCCCTTCATATTTGAAGGGTAACTTTGCTGAATATGATACTCTTGGGTGGCAGTTTTTATTCTTATTATGGCAGTTTTTATTTTATTATTAATTTTTTTAGCACTTTGAAAATATCATTCTCTTCTTTCCCAGCCTCTGTGGTCTCTGTTGAGAAGTGTGTTGCAAAATGAATTGGAGCTTCTTTATGCATCCTTTTTTCTTGCTGCTTTTAGGATTCTTTCTTGTTTTAGACCTTTGAGAGTTTGATTACTATAAGCCTTGGAGTAGTCTTATTTGTGTCAGATCTGTTTGGTGTTCTCTGACCTTCCTGTATCTGGATATTTATCTTTTTCTCAAGTTTTGGAAAGTTTTTTTGCTATCGTTTCTTTGAATAATCTTTTTACCCCTTGTTCTTGCTCAGTTTCCACTTAACCAAAAATTTTTAGATATGGTCTTTCAAGGTAATTATCTTGTAGGTCACCTTAATTGCTTTTTTCCCTTTTTTTCTTTTTCTCCTCTGATGATATTTTCAAATAGCCTGTCTTCAAACTTACTGATTCTTTCCTCTACTCGGTCCTTTCTCCTGTTAAAAGCCTTTAATGAAGTTTCATTAAATTTACTATTTTGAATTCTTGGTCAGAGAGCTCAAATATTGCCGTCTCATTGGGGTAGTTACTGGTTCCCTGGTTTGTTTGCTTGGTGGAAATCATGTTTCCCTCTTTCTTGTGGATGTATGTCTATATCTTTGCATTGAAGGGTTACTTATCTATTCCTGTCTTCTCTGCCTGACTTGTTTTGGTTTTAGTGACTGTATTTTCTTAGAAGTTCTTTCCTGCTAGGTTGCTGCCTCCTTTTCAGCTCTAGGTGGTGCCTTAAGCCCAGGTTCACCTTGTCTGTTGAAAATATTTGGAGCACTGCCCTTCCCAGATGAGAGAGGCTCCAAAGGGGATGTCTCAGAAGTGTAGGAAGGCTGCTTCATGCCCAGAGGACCTATGGGACAAACCTCCTACGATGTGGTACTGATGAACAGCCACTCTGGTTTGGTGTCTCCTTTGGCTGGGCTACAGAGTAGAGTTTCCAGAGCCAGGGACGCTAGCCCTGTCTTCTCACCATGCCTCTGTCTTTCTCTTCAGACACTTTGTGTTGCTTCCCATGAGTTAAGACAGAGACAGATTTCCTGCCAGGGAATCCAAGGTTGTGGAGAAGCTGCTTGTCCACCTGGATCTTACTTTTTCCAGTGTAGAAACAGTGAGCTGAAGGAAAATTTTCTGCAGGCCTAGTGCCAGGCAGAATTGGGGGAGGGGGTCATGGATGTGAAAGTCCGATTATTTTACCATTTTCTTAGAAATTTTTCACTTCTCTCTGGTCAGTGACTTCAAGGATGTAGAGAGGCAGGGGATATATTTAAGAGGCGTTCTCCAGGTATATTTGACAATACTTATGAATTAAAAGGAGGGCTTGAGTCAGGAGGCAGAAAGTCATAGGAAGCTATGTCTACCTTGAGTTACCAAACTTCAGGAGTGGAAACAAATCCATTTATTCAGTCATTTGAACACTTCTGAACACCAGTCACTGGCCTAGGATCTGTGGATGTAATGGTGACGTAAGTTAACTTGGCTCTAGTCTTTATGGAACTTACAGTCTGGCAGGAGACACGCCTTAATCAAAGACTCATACCAATAGCTACATCATTACAAACTGGACTAAGGGCTATGAAAGACAACAGAGGTCATTGTAAAAATATGTAAGGGAGGATAGCCTAGTGTGAGGGTGTCAAGGAAGCCCTGAGAGAGTGACATTTGAACTGAAATTTAAAGATTGATGTCTGGGCCAGCAGGACCAGCATCTCCTGGGAACTTGTCAATGACACAAATTCTTAGGTCCCACCTCCATCCAATATCGGAACCAGAATCTGGAGTGGGGCCCATCAATCTGTTTCTAACAGGCCCTCCAGGTGATTCTGATGCCCACTTAAGTTTGAGAGCTATTGGTCATTAGGACAAGAGGAGTTTGTTAGGCAGAAAGGGGAGCAGAATGAGTGTTCTAGGTAGAGGCTACAGCATATAAAGAGAAAGAAGTCCCTATGTGGGAGAGAGCACACTTGCAAAACTGCCAAAGGCCAGTGTGAGTGAGGCAAAAGGAACCAGGGAGGGGGAGACAGCGGAGAAGCAGACTTGAGGGCCCAAACTGTAACCATGATGACGCTGAGGACTGGTCTTTGTTCTAAGAGCACTAGGAAGTATTTGGAGTGTCTTAAGCAAGGAAGTAACACAAGGAGATCAGCATTTTAAATGATTATTCTGGTTGTTGTGATGAAGACAGAGGAGACCACAGTGTGTGTGTGTGTATATGTCTGTGTATGTATGTGTGTATGTCTTGGTTTGAGACATGGAAAGAGGAGCGGTGCTCATAGAGTGTTCACATAAAATACCTCCACCTGGGAATCCTACAATGTAGTGTGAAATTCATATAATTTGCCTAAGGTTTTCTACACAATTCTCCAGTAGCTTGCAAATCATTTGATTGTTTTGTAAACCCAAAGGCTCCATTCTTGTGACTTGATAAGCTGAATAAGAAAATCTGTCTGCCAATCTGTGCTAACCCCATTGCTCTCTTATTTTTCAGAATTCTCAAATTCAGAAATATTTTATCTTGAAGGAAATGAAACGAAATAGCAAAAAAATAAATGCTACCAAGGGCACCAACACCCTGTCAGGCAGTACGAAAGCCAGGTGAGATGCTCCCCTTCCCTGAATGCCTGTATCTGCTGATGTGGCTCTTGCACAGAAGGTGACTAGCTCACTGTATCGTGCAGGACTTGAGGTCTCCAGAGAAGGTGCTTGAGAAGGTGATAACGTGACTCTGACTACTTCTGTCTGGTTTCTGTCAGTCGTTCAGGTGGTGCACATTTACTGAGTGCTGATTTCTTTGCCAAAATTGTCTAGGAACTTTCATATTTATCATATCAACAAGCTTTGGTTTATGTATTTGAACCCCAGGTGACCTTAATCTGGTGCTCCACATGGCTGAGAATATTAGACAACTGCAGTGGGTTGGGAAAATGGTTCAGCCTGCCTCACTCACAGGGCCGCCTTGACAATCCAGGCTTTCTTGTGCCCGGATTCACACTTCCTGCTATAGGTGGCAGCAGCAGCAAAGTTTTAGTTACTGAACTCTAAAGCCAGGAAACTACAGAGAAACTTTGTGGGATTTAAGGACTTGCTTGGACTTGGCTGGACTATAAATAGGACATGTTAAACACTTCTTGCCTGCTTATAGGAGCTGGGAGAAAACGTAATTGCTTCCAGCCCTTACATTTCAAAAGACTGGGAGTGAGGCAGTTTCAAGATGGGAACAACTGTTTGACACAGACTTGTGGTCAACTTCTCTGGCACTTCTTGTTTTTTTCCTGTTACCATATCTGTGCCTGTCATCACTTCACGTGTGTTGGTGTGTCTGAAAATATTCATGAGGTAATAGTGGATTTCTGAGGCAACTCCTGAAATAAGATTTTTATGACCATGATAAAGCATATTACAAATAAAATGATATAAGCTTTTTCTTTTTTTAAATTTCAATAGCTTTGGGGGTACAAGTGATTTTTGGTTACATGGAAGCATTGTATAGAAGCCAGGAAGTCTGGGCTTTAAGTGCACCCTCTACCGCCACCTGTGCACTCTGTACCCGACAGGTGATTTTTTTATCCCTGTTCTGAACACCCCCCACCCTCCCACTTCGGATTCTTCAGTGTCCATGATGACATTTGCTATGCCTTTGCGGTTCCTAAGTTTAGCTCCTATTTACAAGTGGGACCCGAAAAACCCTGGAATTTATTTATAAAAAGTTGTGTATTCTTGCATGTTTAAACTTCAGTCACCTTCAAAGTACTCTCTGTTTGATGCAATACACCCATCCAGATGCTTTTTCCACTGCTCAAAACAGTCTTGGAACTTGTCAATTTTGATGCCTTCTAGTGCTTCTACCATTTTTTATTCCACCTATTTCACATTGGCAAAAATGTTTCCCTTTGAGGACTTTTTTCATGGGAGAAACAAAAAAAGTTGCTTGGGGAGAGATCAGGTGAACAGGGAGGGTGGGGCATGGGGATCATGCCATTTTCGGTCAAAAACTGCTTGAACACTCAGTGCAGTGTGGGCAGGTGTGCTGATAAGTCACCCATCATAAAATGGGCAGACATGTTGAGAGAATTTCCAAAAAAATAATTCACTGAAGCTGAATGCAGCCTCTCACAACAATGGTAGCTGGTACACTGATGCTGATGGGTTCCTAGAGCACTCACCTAGTGGGGGAACTCCGTACTGCAAGGAGCCCACCCACCAAAAGATAATTCTGGGTTTTTGGGGGGGTCTCTCCCCATATAAGAGAGAACATGTGGTATTTGGTTTTCCATTCTTGCATTACTTCAGTTAGGATGATGGTCTCCAGTTCCATCCAAATTGCTGCAAAAGACATTCTTTCATTTTTTTAATGACTGAATAGGATTCCATGGTATGTATATATAAATACAGATATATTTTCATTATCTGCTGGTCAGTTGATTCCATATCTTTGCAATTGTGAATTGTGCTGTGATGAATATGCAGGTGCAGGTGTCTTTTTTGTTTATTGACCTCTGCTCCTTTGGCTAGACACCAAGTTGTGGGACTGCTGGATCAAATGGTAGATTTACTTTTAGTTTTTTGAGAGATCTCCATACCAGTTTCCATAGAGATACTAATTTACACTCCCACCAACAGTTTATAAGCATTCCCTTTTCACCACATCCATGCCAACGTCTACTGTTCTTTGATTTTTTAATGATGGTCATTCTGACTGATGTAAGGTGGTATCTCATTGTGTTTTAAATTTTCATTTCCCTGATTATGACTGAGGTTGAGCATTTTTTCATGTTTGTTGGCTATTTGTATATCTTCTTTTGAGAGATGTCTGTTCATGCCATTGCCTACTCTTAAATGGGGTTATTTGCTTTATTTCTTGCTTATTTGTTTGGGTTCTTTGTTGATTTTGTATATTAGTCCTTTGTCAGATAGATAGTTTGTGAATATCTTCTTTTCTGTAGTTTGCTTCTTTACTCTGTTGATTATTTCTTTTGCTATGCAGAAGATTTTTCATTTAATTAAGACCCACTTGTTTATTTTTGTTCATGTTACATTTGTTTTGGGGGTCTTGGTCATAAATTATTTGCCTAGGCCAATGTCCAGAAGAGTTTTTCTTGGGTTTTCTTCTAGAATTTTTATGGTTTCATGTATGATGTTTAAGTCTTTAATAAATCGGGGTAATTTTTGTATGTGATGAGAGATAGGAATCAAGTTTTGTTTTTCTGCATGTGGCTATCCAATTTTCCCAGCACCATTTGTTGAATAGAGTGTCTTGTCCCTAGTGTATGTTTTTGTCTGCTTTGTCGAAGATCAATTGGTTGTAGGTATTTGGGTTTATTTTTGGATTGTCTGTTCTGTTCCACTGGTCCATATGTCTGCTCTTGTACCAGCACCATGCTGTTTTGGTTACTATTGCCTTTTAGTATAATTTGAAGTCAGGTAATATTATGCCTCCAGCTTTTATTCTTTTCGCTTAGAATATTCTTTTTGCTTTGGCTATTCTGGCTCTTTTTTGGTTCTGTATGAATTGTAGGATCTTTGTTTCTTTTATTTTTTTTTTGAGTTGGAGTCTCACTCTGACGCCCAGACTGGAGTGCAGTGGCCGCTCCCAGCCACCGCAGCCTCGACCTGCTGGGCTCCAGCAATCCTTCCGCCTCAGCCTTCCAAGTAGCCAGAATTACAGGCATGCGCTACCACTCCCGGCTGATTTTTTGATTTATTGTAGAGATGAGGTCTCGCTGCCCAGGCGGGTCTCAAACCCACGGGCTCAGGCAATCCACTCACCTCAGCCTCCCAAAGGCATGGGATTACAGGCTGAGCCACCAAGCCCGGCTAGGATCTTTTTTCTAATTATGTGAAAAATGACTTTGATAGTTTGATAGGAATTGTGTTGAATCTGTGGATTACTTTGGGTAATATGGTCATTTTTAACAATGTTGATTCTTCCAATCCATGAGCATGGGATATTTTCCTACTTGTGTCCTCTACAATTTACTTCCTTGGTGTTTTGTAGTTCTTCTTGTAGAGATCTTTCACTTCCTTGATTAGATATATCTCTAGGTATTTTAGCTTTTTGGCAGTTATTATAAATGGAATTGGTTTCTTGATTTGATTCTCAGCTTTGTCACTTTTGGTATATATCAGTACTACTGATTTCTGTGTGTTGATTTTGTATCCCAAGACTTTACTGAATTCATTTTTCAAGTCCAGGAGCCTTTTGGAGGAGTCTTTAGGATTTTCTAGGTATAAGACCATATCATTGGCATACAGAGATAGTTTGATTTCTTTTTTCCAATTTGGATACCCTTTTTTTCTTTCTCTTGTCTGATTGCTTTGGCTGGGACTTCCAGTTCTGTGTTGAACACGAATGGTAGCATTTTCATTAGAATCTGTATTCTGGGGCAGCAAGGCATTCATGATATTATACATTCTCTTACAAAAATACAATTACTCAATTCAAGATGCATTATTTTCTGGAGGATTATGTGCCAGGCACATAATAAGACATGACCCCTGCTCCTATGGCATTAATGGTCTAACAGGAAAGACAGACACTGAACAATCATAGGGTCATAGGTGCTAATTAAGAAAAACTTACTGACAGTGGTCACTAGTTCTTGGTGGAGAGAATAGAGTGAGAAATCACAGATGATGTGAAAACTTCTACCTTGAATGGTAGGAAAGAGAGGGAGAATTTTATATAAATACAAGAGTGTAAGGATGTGTAGTGTGCATGTGTGCTATTCTCTATATGGTGTGAGTGCAGTGTGTATGCATGTATGTGGTATAGGTACCTGCATATGTGTGGTGTATATGATATGTGTGATGTGTTATGTATGTGTGGTATGTATGGTATGTGTGGTATGTGGTAAGAATGTGTGATATGTGTGTGATGAGAATATTGTGTATATGGTGAGTGTGTGTGTAGTGTGTGGTATGTGTTGGTATGTTGTGTGTGTGATGTGTGGTGTGTGTGTGTGTTTGTGTGTGTGTGTGTGTGTGTGTGTGTTGGGAGGAGAGTGCTGTCTGAATAATAGGACTGTGAAAGCCATTCATGTCAGTACTTTGGAGTTCCAGTTCTGTGCTGGGTATGATGGGACTGGGGGTACAATGGTGTAAAAAGTTGTATTTCATGGAGCTTATAATCATAATTTCCTAAACCAAAGTGTAATTACAAATGGTGGTAAGTGCAGTGCGGTGCAGGGAAAATCCTGGCTGTGCAAGAGACTCTGCAAGGAGGATGCAGGGTAATCAGTGAGGCCTCTACAGAAGGTGATGTCCCAGGAGGTCTGAAGGCAGAGGAGTCAGTGGGGGGTGGACCAAGGACTGGGGGAAGGATGAGAAGGGAGATGTGGGCAGAAGCCAGGTCCTGCTCTGCCTGGTAGGCCTGTTACGCACAACATGCTGGGCCAAGCTTATCAAAGAACCTTCAAAATAAGAAAGATCGATGTCTCCCTCATCTCAGCACAACTATTTTTGTCACATCTTCTGGCTCCTGTCCATTTGTGAAGATACATTTTTTTTTTTTTGAGTTGGAGTCTCACTCTGTCGCCCAGACTGGAGTGCAGTGGCCGCTTCCGGCCACTGCAGCCTGGACCTGCTGGGCTCTGGCG